TGAAAGTAGACTTATTGCAAGCTGTAAGACAACCAACAAAAATAATTTTTAACAAGTATAATTGATTGCTAAGATGTCGGTTATATAATTATATATCATATCAATTATGTCAAATTTAAGTATAATTGATATGCACCTAACAACAGAGTGTCACAATACGTGAGGCAAAACTGATAGAATTGAAGGAGAAATAGAAAAATTCACTATTATAGCTGGAGACTTCGACAACTTTCTATCAGTAATTGACAAATCCAGCAGGCAGAAATCTCTAAGGATCTAGCTGAACTAAACAATACCATCAGAAAAACTGGATCTAATTGACATTTGTAGAATCTTCATCCAACAGCAGAATAGACTTTCTTTTCAAGCTCACATGGAACATTCATCAAGAGAGACCACATCCTGCACCATAAAACACACCTTAACAAATTTAGAATAGAAATCACACAAAGTATGCTCTCAGACCACAATGAAATTAAACTAGAAATCAATAGTGAAAAATAGCTGGGGAGCTGGCCCCATGGCTTAGCGGTTAAGTGCGCACACTCCGCTACTGGCTGCCCGGGGTTCCGGTCCCAGATGTGCACCAACGCACCGCTTCTCTGGCCGTGCTGAGGCCACGTCCCACATACAGCAACTAGAAGGATGTGCAACACACAACTATCTACTGGGGCTTTGGGGGGGGGGGGGGAAGGAGGATTGGCAATAGATGTTAGCTCAGAGCCGGTCTTCCTCAGCAAAAAGAGGAGGATTGGCATGGATGTTAGCTCAGGGCTGATCTCCCTCACAAAAAAAAATAATAAAAATAAAGTGCTCCTGACTTTTAAAAAGAAAAATAGCTGGAAAATCCCAAAACATCTGAAGATTAAAGAACATACTTCTAAATAAGAAATGTGTCAAAGAAGTCTCAAGAGAAATTTAAAAATAAATTGAACTAAATTAAAATGAAAATACACTTAAAATTTGTAGAATGGAGTGAAAATAGTGCATGGAGCAAAAATATAGCATTGAATGTCTATATTAGAAAAGATGATCTAGAAATCAATAGTCTAAGCTTCCACGTTAGTAAATTATAAAAAGAAGAGCAAATTAAATCCAAACTAAGCATAAGAAAAGAAATAATTGAAGTTAGAGCAGCAATCAATAGAGAAAATCAATGAAACCAAAAACTGGTTCTTTGAAAAGATAAATAAAATTGATTGAGCCTCGGAGCCGGCCCAGTGGCGCAAGCGGTTAAGTGCGCACACTCTGCTGCGGCGGCCCAGGGTTCACTGGTTCGGATCCCAGGCACACACCGGCGCACCGCTTGTCAGGCCATGCTGTGGCGGCGTCCCATATAAAGTGGAGGAAGATGGGCATGGATGTTAGCTCAGGGCCAATCTTCCTCACAAAAAAAAAAAAAAATTTGATGAAGCCTCTAGCCAGGGCAACTAAGAAAAAAACGACAGAAGACACAAATTACTAATCTGAGAAATGAAAGAGAGGACCTCACTACAGATCCCACAGATTTGATAACTCAGATGAAATGGACCAATTTCTTCAAAGACACAATCTGCCAAAACCCACACAAGAAGAAACAGACAATCTGAACAGTCCTATATTTATTAAATAAATTTAATCAATAATTAATGACCTTCCAAAACAGAAAGAACTAGGCCCAGATGGGTTCACTGATCAATTCTACCAAACATTTAAGGAAGAAATTATAACAATTCTCTACAATCTCTTCAGAAGATAGAAGCAGAGAGAATACTTCCTAACTAATTCTATGAGGCTAGCATTACCCTAATACCAAAACCACACAGACATTATAAGAATATTTAAAGTAGTATCTCTCATGAACATAGATGCAAAAATCCTCAACATAATATTAGCAAACCAAATCCAACAATGTATGAAAAGAATTATACACTATGACCAAGTGAGATTTACTCCAGGTATGCAAGATTGGTTCAACATTTGAAAATCAATTAATGGAATCCATCACATCAACAGGCTAAAGAAGAAAAATCACATGATCATATCAATAGACAGAAAGGCATTTGACAAAATCCAATATCCATTCACAATAAAAACTCTCAGCTACCTTAAAATAGAGGGGAACTTCCTCAACCTGATAAAGCTAACATCATACTCAGTAAGAAACTAGAAGCTTTCTTTCCCATGACGATCAGGAACAAGGCAAGGACATCCCCTCAACCACTCCTTTTCAAAATCATACTGGACGTCCTAGCTACTGCAGTAAAACAAGAAAGGAAATAAAAAGTATAAAGATTGAGAAGGAAGAAATAAAACTCTCTTTGTTTGCAGATAACATGATCATCTATGTAGAAAATCTGAAAGAATCAACAAAATATTCCTGGAACTAATAAATAATTAAAGCAAGATTGCAGGATACAGGATTAATAAACAAAAGTCAATTGCTTTCCTATATACCATCAATGAACAATACTATTTATGTTAGCACCCCCCAAAATGAAATACTTAGCTATAAACTGACAAAATATGTACAAGATCTATATGAGGAAAACTACAAAACTCTCATTAAAGAAATCAAACAAGATATAAATAAATGGAGAGATATTCCATGTCATGGATAGGAAGAGTCAATATTGTTAAGATGTCATTTTCCCCAACTTGATCTATAGATTCAATGCAATTCCAATTAAAATCCCAGAAAGTTATTTTATGGGTTTGGATAAACTGATACATAGACAGACAAAAGACAAGCAATATACTAAAGAAGAAAAAAGCTGGAGCACTGATACCACCCAACTTCAGGACTTACTATATAGCTACAGTGATGAAGATAGTCTGGTAATGGCAAAAGAACAGAGAAACAGATAAGTAGAACAGAACAGAGAGCCCAGAAACAGACCCACACAAACATGGTCAACTGATCTCTGACAGACAAAGGCAATTCAATGGAAACAGGACAGTCCTCAACAAATGATGCTGGAACAGCTGGAAATCCACATGCAAAATAAAGAATCTAGACACAAACCTTATACCTTTCACAAAAATTAACTCAAAGTGTGTCATAGACTTACATGTAAAACACACAACTAAAAAACTTCTGGAAGATAACATCGGAGAAAATCTAGAGACCTTGCCTAACAATTTTTAGATACAATACCAAAAGCGTGATCCATGAAAGAAAAAAATTGTTAAGTTGGACTTCATTAAACTTAAAAACTTACACTTTGTGAAAAATACTGTTGAGAATGAAAAGACAAACTAGACTGGGAGAAAATACATGCAAAAACCCTTATCTGATAAAGGACTTATATCCATATATAAAAAAGAACTCTTAAATCTCAACAATAAGAAAACAACCCAGGGCCGGCTCCGTGGCTTAGCGGTTAAGTGTGCGCGCTCTGATGCTGGCGGCCCGGGTTCGGATCCCGGGCACGCCCCAAGGCACCACTTCTCCGTCCAACGCGAGGCCGAGTCCCACGTACAGCAACTAGAAGGATGTGAACCTATGACATACAACTATCTACTGGGGCTTTGGGGGGAAAAAAAATGAATAAATAAAATCTTTAAAAAAAAAAAAAAAAAGAAAACAACCCAATTAATAAATAAACAGAAGATCTGAACAGACACTTCACCAAAGAAGATCACAGATGGCAAATAAGCATATGAAAAGATGCTCAACATCATATGTCATTAGGGAATTGCAAATTAAAACAATGATATATCACTACATATCTATCAAAACAGCTAAAATCCAAAACACTAACAGCCGCAAATGCTGGTGACAATGTAAAGGAACAGGAATTCTCATTCATTGCTGGTGAAAATGCAAAATGGCACAGCCACTTGGAAGACAGTTTGGCAGTTTCTTACAAAGGTAAATATAGACTTAACATACAATCCAGCAATTGTGCTTCTAGCTATTTATCCAAATGAGTTAAAAACTTATGTCTATACAAAAACCTGCACATAAATGTTTATAGTAGCTTTCTTCATAATTGCCAAAAACTGGAAACAACCAAGATGTTCTTCAGTAGGTGAACGGATAAACAAACTGTGGTACATTTGTAATGTTATTCAGCAATAAAAAATGAGCTGTCAAACCACTAAAAGACATGAAGGCACCTTAAATGCATATTGCAAAATGAAGGAAGCCAATCTGAAAAGGCTACAAACTGCAGGATTCCAGCTACAGGATATTCTGGAAAAGGCAAAACAATAGAGCCAGTAAAAAGATCAGTGGTTGCCAAAGGGAATGAGGAAGAGAGAGAGATGAATAAGTGGTGTACAGGGAATTTTTAGGGCGGTAAATCTATTCTGTATGATACTGTAATGGTAGATACATGACATTTTGCATTTGTCAAAACCCACAGAACTATATAAACCAGAGTGAACTGAACCTTAATGTAAACTAAGGACCTTAGTTAACAGTAACGTATCAATATTGGCTCATGAGTTGTAAAAAATATACCACACTAATGCAAGATGTTAAATAATAGGGGAAGCTGAGGGAGGGGAAGAGGAGATATGGCAACTCGGTACTTTGTGCTCAATTTTTCTGTAAACCTAACACTGCTCTAAAAAATAAAGTCTATTAAATTTTCTGTAAAAAATCATAACCAGATTCAACTGCTTTTAGAAACACTAAGTTCTTCCTAAGTTGCTGGTCACTATTATAAATTAGAGGGCAAAAAATACATGCTACTTACTAAAATTTTTTTTTTTTTTTTTTTTTTTTGCTCAGGAAGATTTGCCATAAGCTAACATCTGTTGCCAATCTTCCTCTTTTTGCTTGAGGAAGATTAGCCCTGAGCTAACATCTGTGCCAATCTTCCTCTACTTTGTATGTGGGTTGTCACCACAGCATGGCTGACAAGTGTTGTAGGTCCATGCCTGGGATCCAAACCCGTGAACCCAGGCTGCCAGAGAGAGCACATGGAACTTAACCACTACGCCATGGGGCCAGCCTCTATTAAAAATTTTAAGAAGTGAAGGAGAGAAGAAAAAACTATCATATGACTTACCTGTTGCTTCAAAGGTCAGCTTTATAGAATCCCAGGGTGTCTGTTCTTTGGATACAAGTCTGAAATGAGCGGGATCTCTTGGAGAAACTTCTGCAGCAGGAAGATACCAGTTTTTCCTATTTGGAAAGGTAGCATCAATATTTAGGATGCTTTATTAGTTGATAGCTATCTATAACTCATGGAAATGCTCAGAATATATGAAACACATTTTGGAGTATGAAAATAAACTCTGATGGACATGCTAAACAACATGCCAATTCCTCTGAAGCCCAGGTTATTGTGTAATAAAACCTTCCCAAAGTTAAGAACAAAGGATGCTAGCTGATCTTGATTCCACTACCCATCCTATTTCCTCTCATCTAGTCCTTCACTGCCAAACCATAAAAACTTCCCAGAAATAAGAAAAGCAGTTTGTAATTGACACTAACTGCTGTCTGTTAGATCAGTTAAGAGGGCCACCCTTTCTAACTACTCAGGTTTCTAGGGGAAAGACTTTCTAATTTTTTTTTTCCAGAAAAGGATATTTTTTTAATTGAAGTAACTGCAAATAGGAAACCAGAGAGGGAGCCCCAGGTTGGGACAAATAATGGCTACCTCCTCCCGGACAGAACAGGGGGAGAAGGTGGCAAGAATTCGTAAATTTGAAAAAACAAACCTACACTTTTGAGTGCTTTATGCCACTAAAGAAATAAAACTTCCGGAGTGATAGAAAAAATAGTATACACAGCACTTGATTTCTGTGTTAACCAGTTTAAATAATGAAGTACTGATATAGGACTTGAGAACAAACTAAACCCCAGTTAAAGCAGAAAAGTAATGAACCAACCTGATCAGAAAGTGCACCGGAAGATACCAAGGGAAGCCACAGAGGGGTGCATTCTCTTCACAGTGAGCTCGGATGGTATCGTTGATCTCGGGAATGTGAGATGTTATGTGAGACATTCCGGAATAATCAAACCCATTGATCCATATTCCAGAGTCCCGTTTAACTATGTTTCCATCCAAGTCATGAAATGTTCTAGTCACATGCTGAGAAGAACAAGACTAATGAGAAAACTACTGTTTCAACTCCTTCACCCACATCCTCACCACAGATTAACAAAAATGAGTGTGACAATACCAAGAAACGATGTGGCTATGGAGCAAAAAGAACCCTCATACACTGCTGGCAGGAGTATATGCTGGCACAATCACTTCAGGAAACTGTTTAGCATTACCTAATAGAGTCAACATGCACATAACCTTCAAGCCAGCAATTCCACTCCTGAATATGTACCTTAGAGAATCTCCTGCAAGGTACAAGGGGGTTGATTCAGCATTGTCCATATTAGCAAAACTGGAAACAACCCAAATGTCCATTAACAGTAGAATGGGCAAATAAACTGGGGCTTCACCCTATGACAGATGTCTATTTAGCAATGAAAAATCATGAACCACAGTGACACAAATCAACATGGAAGATTCTCACATGCTGTTGGGCAAAAAGAAGCAAGTCACAAATGAATATTTATGGTATGGCTTTATCTGTAAGAAGTTCAAAAACAGACCAAATTATACGTTGTTGTTTAGGGATTCATACATATGTGGTAAAATAAAGAAAAGTAAGGTAATAATTAACTCTTAAACTTCAAGATAGTGAGTGAGTACTTCTTTGAGGAGTGGCAGGAGAGTGGGAGGGGGAAGTTGGGATCAAAAGGGGAACACTCAGATTTTCTAAGGTACTGTTAATGTTCTTTCTTTTAAACTCGATAATGAACATACAGATGATTGTTTTATTATTTCTTACAACTATATTTATATATTTAAATTCCATATAAAAATTTCTGAAAACCTACTATTTCAGATTTAAAAGACATGAACACTAGAACTCCTTTTAGATAAGGACTTAAAACAAATACATCCTAAGATAAATATACATACACACACATACACATTTCCCTTTCTGTGTGTTACATGAAGCTAATTCATGTACATAGAAAAACAGGAATCACAGCTCACCACTAGATGACAGACTTGTACCTAACAGAATTCTATGAAAAGGCAGCATGCTCCATCTGAAATAGCTTTATTAACAGCAGAAACCAGCCTGAAGAATATCAAACAGGAGAAGAAAAAGGATTGCATAGGGCAGGGGTCAGTAAACTTACAGCCCACAGGCCAAATGGCCCACTACAAGTTTTATAAATAAAGCTTTATTGGACCATGGCCAGGCTCATTTGTTTAGGCGCTCACTGTCCATGGCTGCTTTTGCTCTGTAAAAACAGAGTAGCTGTGACAGAGACTATGTGGCTGGCAGAGCCTAAAATATTTATTATCTGGCCCTTTACAGGAAAAGTTGGCCAACTTCTGGCACTGGAGAAGAAGAGAACCCTAAAACAAATCAGGACAGGAGTCTGTAAAAATAAAAATCTAGCTTTTCCTAACTACTACTGACAAAATTATAAAACTTAGCAAGTCACTGAAAACACATTGAATCTCCTAAAAACTAGCTATTCTTCATTAAAGGTTTTGCAAATTGTAAAATCTGTCACATAAAATGTATCACTGCATCCTCCAGGACTAAAAACAAGGAATAGTGGGCCCTTTTTCACTATTTATGAAATTTAAGTTCAAATATTATTATTACTTATTCAAGTCCTTGAATAATTATCTAGTTATGACTCTTGGCTTTTTTTTGGCCACTCCACAACCTCTACAGAGAAGACGACTGGAAATAAGGCAACTTAGTCCTTTTTCCTGCTTTATAGTACCAGCTCTAAAAAGTTTGCAGAAAAAACCTGAAATCTAAGAAAGTTCTAAATCTCATTTTATTGATCCCTAAGTTATTATATTTTCATTATCACACATTACTTGGAATGTTATACCTAAGACCAATTTTACTAGCATTTAAAAATATGTATTTTATTTTGCCAGTTGATAGGCGTTCAGATTTTTACTCAGCCTGCAGACATTTTTATAATCTGTACTTCTAAAAGTTCGTTATTCCATGATACATATATGCTCTTGTTTGTCAGGTGCATTTTTATAATTTGACCAGTAATAAGAAAACAACAGGGGCCGGCCCCATGGCTTAGTGGTTAAGTGCGCACGCTCTGCTGCTGGCGGCCCGGGTTCGGATCCTGGGCGCACACCGACGCACCGCTTCTCCGGCCATGCCGAGGCCGTGTCCCACGTACAGCAACTAGAAGGATGTGCATCTATGACATACAACTATCTACTGGGGCTTTGGGGGAAAAAAATAAATAAAATAAAAATTAAAAAAAAAAAAGATCATCACTGATTTGAATGTTGAAAAAAACAACAACAAGCAGACATTTCCGATTCAGTCTCTTGGGAGAAGTGTATCTAGCAGATAAGAATGCCTCTTGATGGTCAGTCTTTTCCTCACTGCCTTACACAAAATAGTCAAGTAAAAATAATAGGTCAATGCAGAAAAGTCAGTTGGTTTTCCTGTTGACTAGAGAAGCTCAAAATATACACGGCTTTCCTTTCCAGAATCTCAAACAGCTCACAAAAAATTGCCCTTACCTGAAGAAACACTCTCTTTGGCTTCGGACTGGCAGGATTGGAGCTATATGGGAAAAAAGTTCCACTGCAAACAAGGAGGAATGTAACTGAACATACCAAAGTTAAAGTTAGCATGGTTTTTTTTGTGCTTTTGGCAAGGTAGATGAAGTTAATCTAAAACACAAAACACAAAAATAGAAAAATTACCATTGGCAGAAAGGTGGCTTTAACCGCCTTTACTTTGTAACAGGTATTATCTGACAGATAGCAAAGAAGATTTATCAGCATGTGCTAACATACTCCAACACCCAGTAAACAAAGCACCAATTATAAGGGATTTCCATCATCAGTCAGAGCCTGTATAAATGAGAGATGCCCCCATCTCCACGATGGTGCCTTTTGGACAGGCAGCCAGATAGCAAGAGGGAAAAAGGAAACTGAGAAGTGTCTCTGCTCAGTGGGCAGAGACCAGAGGATGTAGATCCATCACCAGTCAAACCATGACCTTATTTTATTTCCAATCCTATCAACACCCTGTAACACTGCACAGCAGACACTATTTAACTGTACCAAACATGATGACATTAGGCTTTTATTAAAGAACCAGAAGTAAGCTTTTAAGCATAAGCAGGCCTATTTCAACAAAACTCAGGTTCCACTCATAATGCTTTTATGATATGCCAAGGTGCTGGATTCATCTAAACAAGCATTTAGATGTACCTTCAAGACTTCGCCTGTGGACCTGCATATGAGGAGAAACTGCAATAAGAAGTAATACTGCCCCTTGCAGTGCTGACTTAGCCAAAGCCAACAATCAAGACAACAAAACTGAACTTGAGCAGGAAAACTAAATGTCTCAGTCTCAAGGTAGGCATCCAGAAAATCCTAAATATGCTTATATTAGCTTTTTACTTGTAATGAAATCACTGAATTAAAAGCTGTAGAGGACACACATGACTCACAGATCCCTTAGGGTTCCCATCCAGGGTAATCTCCAGCAGTACTGGTCTTAGGTCAAAGATCTTACGTTTTCACACTGTGAGCACAGAAATAAGACAAAGCACCCAAGGACTTAAGGCAGTGAGTTAGCAAAACACAATTACCCTGTCTGTCCCTCTTTCTCCTCACAGTCACAACATTTAAAATGAGGCTCCTCAGCACAGTATCAAATATCATGCCAAGTAATGAGCTTCCCCTCCACTGGAAGGCTGGTAAGTTTAGGTACAGAGAGTCTTTTAGGTCAAAATCAAACCTCCCTGTCATAACGCTGTGGTTCCTGCCATTCTCAAGCCAGCTACCACCCAAAGTTTGCTAAAACCTCAGTTTAAGGTACAGCTTCCACATCACATTCCCTCTTCTCCAAATCATGAGGCTCATCCTCTGCCTCTTCCACCCCACTTCTGGAAGACGTTTGGTAACAGTGATAAATGAAATGGAAGTCACAGAGCGGGGAAGGAAGAAGAGGGTGGCCTCAGTGACAATGTGCTTGGATTCCACTGTCTTAAATTTCACTGTCTCTTATTTCTGTCTTAAATGTTACATCTTACATGACTCTAGGTTCTGAAATGGTACAAAATAAAATGAAGAAAAGCATGAGAAGGGACTATGAAGTGTCCAATGTGTGCTGGCTATTTCTCTGTTTCTCTCTCAGAGGCTCCTCCCTGAGCCCACTCCTATCAGCAGTCTCATTGGACGGCCCCAACACAGGATAACCCCAGGAAACCTGTTAACTGATCACTTGACAGGAATTTAATTGCTTTCTAGCAAATACACTTAATAATCCCCAAGGACTGAATGATACGCTCTCTGAAACACGCATGTGGTTCAGTTCTCCATTACCCAAGGAGAATGGGCTCCCTCTATTAACAAGCCACTATCTTCATCACTGCTACAGACAAACAGGAAAATAATGAAGACAACGATAACCCACAGCATCAAACAGCAGCAAAGCTATTTCACGTTATAATGAAAATTAAATGAGGTCTTAAAGTATTCCAAGAGGCACTCTCCAAAGCTTTCCTAATAAAATATAACTTAGAAGATAATATACTTTAATCCTCTTATGGTTTCCAAGATTTCCATGTTTTGGGGTCATTTTCGATTTCCACAGTGAAGTTTTCGGGGTTCATTTTATCCTCTTCCATATGGAACAAAATTGAAATGCTCCACATTTTGATCATCTTTTATGAGCATCAATAGCTTTCATTCATTGACTATGATTTAAATACACTAGGGGGGTCCAGTTCATAACTCAGCCGACTCTAGATTAGAATCTATATATGATGAAACTCCACCATCTCCTTTATAATAACAACAGCAAACTTATCTATTAACATGCACAGAGGATTTAAAGGCTTAATATTAAAACCAAAAGAAAGTAAACCTTGAAAGCAACAAAGAACATTTCAGAATTTTCCATCGATCCCCTTGCAAATACCATTAAGGACTTAATCGTTATATTAAAAGTAAAATGGCTGGAATGTTCTGATTTCTTTCAGCACAAGTACAGCTGACCTCAAACAACAGTGTGCGTAAGAATTATTCTACAGGGCTATTTATGCAGTTGCATGCACAGCTATTTATTGGTATTTAAGGGACTTCCATGGATAATGCTGACCATCCATGCATGTGGTATTCTTATCTGCTGTCTCTAGATCCTAACCTCCCATGCGATGCCCTTTACTATCAATATGAAAAAGCTCACTATCATCTCCATGGAGGAAAGAACTACAATAAAGTCATAACTACTTTTCTATTTGGTCCCCTAGCCTCAAATCTCAAAGTGTACCGATGGGTAGTAAGTACTTCCTATTCTTAGGAATTCCAATGAAAAGAGCCACAAAACAGAGACTTGCCTCCTCTAGAGGGGCCAGGCCTGAGTCCTGGAGAGTGTTGACACCATGCCAAGAGCAGAACTCTGCCCGGAGCTTGCTCTCACAAAGGGGTGTCCAGTTGTCAACTCTGCATCATGTCTTGTCTTCCCTCTGGAGAGTCCCAGGGAAGAGAAGCAGGGACGGCAAAGGTAGGACTCTCCCTCGAGGCCAGAACACTGATACAGCAAAACGACAAGGCCTGTGATACTCTTTCATTGAAGGAGTATGCCTTCAAATGAAGGCATGTTTGGGTATCATAAGTGTACATTACTCGAGGAGACAGACTCAATTAATGAACTGTGCCAGCAGCGAGGTAGTTGAATGATAATGAAAAAAGCCTCATCAGAATTAGTCTTCCTTCACTAGCTCTAACAGCACTAATAAAACTACCATGTATTTATTAACATTTGCCTCTAATTAGTAAGTTCAAAACACATGATTAGGAATCATTCTAAAAATGCACCACCAAGCAAGCTCTACCAATTCTTACTTGGTATGCATTCTATAAATTCACATTCAGGTAGTTTGAAAAGTGCTATAATCAGAGTATTTGGGAGGATGAGGAGGCAAAAATAACAATGAAGACCCCATTCTACATTTTCTTACCATATCAATCCCACAATATGCACAGCCATTCACTATTTCTTTTGCTTAAGAATTTCTCAATAAAGTATAAGCAGTACTATTTCACAGAATCTAGTATGGCTAAACCCATCACATATTTATACAAAAAATGAAGAGGAAAATTAAAAAAAATTTTTTTTCCTTACGAAATAGGAAGAGAGAATCATCGTACAACCAGCCAAAATGGAAGCCAGCACAACATCATCAGGTGGAATTTCCGAACCACTCCTCCCAAGGATAGGGGTAAACATCTCAAATACTGCCCAGATGAGGTACAATGCATAAAGATAAGGAACAGACATCCCCAAAAGGTAAAAGGCAACAAATTTTCCTTGAGCACCTAGGGAAAAAAAGAAAGAAAACACACATCTCTGCAATTCTGCAGTGAGATACAGATTTTTATAGTGCTGGGGTACCTTGGCACCTCATGGAAATTAGGTTAGATGTGTCTCCCGCCCTTTTGGGACATGTTATCTAGTGAGACTAAACACTTTCACTCAGAGAGGGTAAAATACAAATAAGAACTAAACAAAATATGTAAGTAATATAGTAGCATGTGTTCAGATATGTGAGAATGGGATGGGGTATAAGGCATAAAATAAAAATCTGTGACCTGAAAATTAAAAAAGCAGACAGCAACAATTCAGAAAGCCCACCCAAAAAGATCAAAAAAATAAACAGTCCCTGGAAGCCTTATCTTACGTATTTTAAGATATTTTCCCATTTGTATCAAAACCAAAAATACCTACCATGCTGCTTAAAGTCCTTGTGCACGCCAAGCTTTGTGAGCAACGGGAACGCCACCCAGACAGCACTAATAAAGGCCGAGCAAAGTCCTCCAGAAGTGAGAGCGATGAGGAAACCACAATGCACAAACAGCGAGACGTCAAAAAAGACTTCTCCCAGATACTGGTCACTGGCATGCTGAAAGAAAGAAAAATATACAAGTCGTCTCACTCGTGGGCCATTCATAAAGAACTTTCTATTGTCATATAACTTCTATTGCTCAGAAGAGCTACATTTTGTTTCAAACAGGGTCTATCCTTTCAAGTAAACACTGACAAAGCTACCTCCCCTACCATGAAGTACTAAATTCACACTGCTGCACAGGAAAGGGGAATTTAAGAAGATGGGGTAAAAACATCATTACTTGCATATAATCTGTGCTTTTCCTCCACTGGACTAAAAGTAACCTTTGCAAATGTTCTAAAATAGAAGACAGGACTCTTCTAAAAAACATTCACCTCTGTAAGCTTTTCTATTTATGCAACTTCCAAAGAATTTCAAGCAAACTAGAGAAATGACCTGTGAAGAACAGTGTAAGCTGCTGCAGTGCAACCAACACACCTGGAAAACTGCAGGACTTTAGAGCACATGGCCATTTTTTTGCTTGATTTTTTTTGCTTGATTCCTGAGTCTTTTCTATCTCCAACTGGTCTTGTAGTGCACTTCGGCCCCCATCCTGGATTCCTGGTACTTTTACCTTATAAAATTTGATCTATATTGTTTGAACTTTGAAGTCTGAGGATTCCTGTGCAGCACCTTGAGTTCTTCAGAAGAAAGTTGTCAGATGAACTTAATACATTTTAACATCTGCACCAGTGAGTCTATTAATGTAAACATGAAAGTTATAATTTAAGTGCAGAAATACCAAAATGGAAATAGATGCACTTAAGTTTTTCTCTCCTCTGCCTTCTCATTTCTGTATAGCCCAGGGCATGTCTGTTATAAGGGACCCTACTTTAATAGCTCAAAAGAGTTTCAGTCACATGTTTTCAAAATAAGTTAAAGTTGACTTGACAAACCCCCTTGGACAAAGAAAGGCTATGGCTGTTAAATACTTAGATGTTTGACACAGTGTTAATCAAGAGACATCGTCTTTAAAAAGAAGAAAATAATTCTTAGGATCAAATTTGAAGTGAATGTCACTGAGATATTTAAAAACAAAGATCTCAGCAATGAAGACTGTAATAACTGAAAATGTTTTACATTGTTCCCAAATTGTACCCAAAGATCAAACGATCCTACCTCAAACCTAGTTCCCTTCTCCCTATTTCTATTGACTCCTCCCACCTCTGCCTGTTCCAATCCATTCTACACACTGTTACCAGAGTTTTCGTACTAAATCACAAATTCTCTTGCTCACTATCCTGCTTAGAAAATTTTAATGGTGGCCCCAGTGATTTTTAGGGTCATGCTCTAACTTCATCCAGGCCTACTTTTCCAGTTATTGTGCCATTACCTTGTCTTCATCATACTGAACTTTTTATTGACTGTGACCCACATGCATCTTGTACATTCCCACCTTTGAATGACTACTAACCTGTTCTCTGTCTGGCACACTTCTACTCATGCTTCAAAAACCCAGTTCAAATGTCACAACCCCCTTCATGAAGCCTCCCTGACTTCCACAAACAAAATTCATCTCTTCTGGCCCTATATTCCTATAGCACTGTGAATAGGTCACTCTATTTCACTTTATCCCAATGTACTGTAATCACTGTGGTTTCCCTATCTTCCCAAATGAAACTGTGAGCTCCTCAAAGAGAGAGACCATGTCCTTATGAATCTCTGTATCACCAGGCATTAGCATGGTACCAGGCCCACTGGGTACTCAAAGAATATTTGTGAAATGAAAATGAAACACATTACTCTTTCCATTGTGCTTTCAGCCCAAAGTTTTATGACTGAACAACTGAAATTAGTCAAAGTGAATGGAAATTTTACTAAGCATTTCTGTCTCTCCTTCCCCTCTGCCACATCAACAATAGTCAGCCACACTCTGGTTACACACCGTTGCACTAAGAATAAGCATGTGAAATTGAGCCCCATGGTGTAATTCTTTTGGAAACTGAAGCCACTAAGATACAAGTATTAGCTCAATAATACATGGATGGCTAATCTCAAAAAACCTTTCTTCAACAGAGCCTGCTAACATGGAAGGGCTCCTCACATCACATCCCATCATTACCTGAAACTGAGACCAAGGTTCAGGTACCAAAGACATCCTTTAGGAAGGATGCTGTAGTATAACCTTCCATGTCTCCATTCTAATCCCTAGCAGGACAAACTGAAAGAACAGGTATACATTGGCTGTCTTGAAGATAATGGAGCTAAGAAAGATTTTCCCTTTAACTCAGAAAATCAGAAACCATGGCTCTCTCTCTCCCTGTAATTTATTTTTAGTCCTATTATTTCATAACCCTAATTCCTAATTTTATTTTTACCAAATATACACAGTTGAAACCATAACAATATGGCAATATTCTCTACCAGCATAAATCATTTTGGAACCCTATCTCCCTCCCCACCCCCTTTTTTTTTTTGGTGAGGAAGAGTGGCCCTGAGCTAACATCTGTTGCCAATCTTCCTCTTTTTGCTTGAGGAAGATTGTCGCTGAGCTAACATCTGTGCCAACCTTCCTCTACTTTGTATGTGGGACACTGCCACAGCTTGGCTTGATGAGCGGTGTGTAGGTCGGCGCCCAGGATCCAAACCTGTGAATCCCAGGCCACCGAAGCAGAGTGCACGAATTTAACCACTATGCCACCAGGCTGGTCCCTCTCCCTTCCCTCTTTTTTCCTTAGCAATGTGTTTCTAACCCCCATACACATATACATGCTGTCAGAATCTGCATCAACGACATATAGGGTTAAAAAAAAAGTGAAGGAACCTAAAGAGAAAACTTTCTAAGTGCAGCTTTAAGTGCAACAGTCTTTAAGTGCAACATGCTTAGTGCAGCAACTACTTACTGTGTGTTAGTGCTATTTGTCACACATGCCCAACCACAGGGGATAATGAGCAAAACAATCCCTGCCCTCATGGAGCTGACAGTCCAGTGGAGAACAGAGCAATTCAAACATAAATATTTGGGTGAGCCCAGGGAGGGCTGGTAGATTCAAGAGCAGGGTTACAAAAACTGCAGCAGATTCAGCAGAGGCAGAAGGCTATGCTAACAAGCCGTGCTGTCACCACCACCCCAAATACTGTTTACAGCTTTATAACCTCATGTAAAGTCTGCAACAAAACTGTCAGAATAAGAAACCTTTCAGAAAACTAACAAAGTTCTGGGAGCCAGTTTTCTATAACCATGCCAAACAATTTTTGATAGCTCAAAAGGCCAAATACAATGAATCCCACTTGAGTTTGTCTTCAATCCTTGAAGGCAGCAAAAAGAAATCAATAAATATGCCTATCACTTACCACATAATAAAATCTTTTTGCGAGGGTATGTATGAATATTATTTTAGCTACAGCTGCAGTTCCATACAAACAAACGGAGACATAGAAGTGGTTATACCATGAGAGAGACTGTCCGATAAGAGAGATGAACACTGCTATAATGAGGACGGTAACCAAGCTAGTGAACCAGCTTATCAGAGTGATGCCAAGTCCACAGAAGAAGTCCTTCGTGTAGTTAGCAGCTAATGAGAAAACACAAAGTGGAGATCACCATCTTTATCAAATCAATTTCATAACCAGTCAGTAGAGTTAAAGGGGCAAATGCTAAAAAATTCACTATTGTAACTGAAAAGTATTGAAATATCCTAGCGGTAGGGTTTGTTCAACACTAGAACAGGGAAGCTATCAATGAATAAAATTCAAGTAACATTTACTGAGAGTCTGTGGGTACTAAAGACTCAAAGAGAGAAGTCTTCCAGGAATAGTTCAGATATATTCCTGACTAGGAAAGTGGGCAGTCTTAATCTTCATCACCTTTGGGATGCTGTGTGTATCGAAACATCAGAAAGACTGGGCGGCAAAGTTCCATATGAAATCTTGCTAAAAGAAGCTAAGGAAGAGAAGGAGCATGGGAAAATAACTGGTGATAAATGATTATTTAAATTGCTGCTAAATATTTTATCTTGTAACACCACATACCAATTTACACTAGACAACATTTCAAGCAGAAGGAGACAAATTTAACCAGAAGCAGTTCATTCATACTTCAGAACAGTGTGCTACTGGTCTGTAACGTGAATAAGACTTTTTAATGGGAATTTTCACTAAAAGTCAATCTGTACAAACCATTTTTCAATAGCTTCCATATGGTGCTTCTATGGAGTACATACGTACACAAAAATTGCCTACTTTGCCAAGACTAAAAGTATGATGAGCATATTAATCTGATATTCATTTAGAAATATCTTACAATATAAATCAAATGTTATTTTTCCTACGATTTTTAACTTCTTGAAAAGATATAAGTAAATTGACTAGAAACTTGAGGCAAATTCTATACCCATGCCAGTATTGCAGTTTCAGAGGAAAATACTTACTCTTATGTTTGGGTTGCAAGAATTTTTTGCCCAGGTACAAAACGACAGCCATTACCACCATGTAGTTAATTATCGAGCCAACACGAGAGGGGTAGGCAATGACAAATAAGCCAAACACATCAAAGAAGACCATGTTTCCATGTCGATACTTAGAAGAAGAAGCCAACATATCAGATGTAGCTAGATATTTAAGAACTGCTAAAATGTTGTCACCTATTAGTGAAGAAAAGGAAGATAACAAAGTTGAATAAACTATCCAATGTTTGAGTGAAGTAATACCTAGAAAGAATGTGAACAAAAATAGTTTCTACCATCCTACCGCTCTCCCACTTTTCTTACTAAATTTCTCAAATAAGGTCCATGCCCCATACTCTGTTTCCTCTCCACTTAGAAACTCAGCCAACTGGTCTTCATCCTTTCCTTCTATTAAAACTATTCTCTGATCAGCTGTACCCTCACTGCTGACAAACCCAAAGGCTGTTTCCTAGTCCCTATTCATTTAATAGATAACGTAGCAGACACTGCTCTAGATACCAGAAATTCAGTGGTGAACCAACAGACAAAGGCCTCTCGTGAAGCTCACAGACACAAGAACACAGAACAAGTTATTACATGTGTGTTAAGAATTAATAAGGAGGCGCCGGCCCAGTGCCGCAGGGTAGAGGAAGATGGGCACAAATGTTAGCCCAGGGCCAATCTTCCTCAGCAAAAAAAGAGGAGGACTGGCAAGAGATGTTAGCTCAGGGCTAATCTTCCTCACCAAAAAAAAAATAATAATTAATAAGGAATGTCAATTATATCTCAATTTTAAAAAAGAATTAATAAGGAGAGGTATTAAGAGTCCCCTGGGAACACATCATGGGAGACTAATGGAGTTTGAGAAGAAGTTAGGGAAGCAGCCCCGAGGAAGCAATATTTATACTTAAAAGATGAACAGGAGCTAGCTACAACAGGGGAGACTGTCCAGACTGAGAGAACTGTGTAGATGAAGATCCTGAGGAAGGAAAGTTCCAAACAGAGGCAAAAAAGTCCTGAATGAGGAGAGAGAAGCTGGAGAGCGGGGACAGTCATTATCAGGCAGAACCTGGCACAGCAGAGGTCCATAACAAATATCTGTTATATCATTCAATCAATGAATGAGTTTGAGCTTTAACAAAGGATCACTAAGAAGCCTTGAATCATTTGCATTGCTTCCTGCTCCTCAGCCCATCCTTGACTCTCTCTTCTTTTCACTTAAGACATCATGCTGTCTTACCACGGGCTTTCTTTCATTGGCTTCTCTGTCTGCCTTAAAATGTGTTTTCCCCAAAGCTCAGGTTTAGTCCTCTACCTTTGCTTCACTCTTCCAAAAAACATTTCCATTCTCCATACTTCTGTGGTTTTCTCTAGGCCTTTAATTCCCAAACCTATACACCCAGTTCTGCCAGGAGCTCTAATACTGTATCTACATTTTCATCTGGTTTGTTCACAGACCCCCTCCATCTAGTATGTCTGAAAGAGTTCACGGTCTCCTGCTCCTCTCCATTACTGCTCTGGATGAGGGCCTTCCAACATCCCCATCGTGGTCAAGGGCATCATCTTTCCCCAGCCAGCTAGGCTTTATACTTTGCAATCTTCTTTGCTGCCATCCATCTGATTCATCCCTTTATCTAACCTGTCAAGTCTTGCTGAATTACATTCAAAGTGTATCCAATTTTCCATCCCTCCTCTTTCGTTTCTATCTTTTGTCAACACCACAGTCCAGATCCTCATTATTCCCCACTTAAATTACTGTCGGAACAGCCCTGACTCTTGGCTTCTTCTCCCTTTAAAATTCCTCGCAATAAACAGTCTTATGTTCTTAATTGCTAAACTAGATTTCAAAGCTAAAATTCAAATCCTCTTCTAACTCCAAAAACCCAGCCCATTCACACCATACATTGCCTCTCTAATGCACAGGCCACACAGGCTATTTACAAATTTTAAGTCATCCCTAATATTCCATCTTACCATATATCAAAAGTCTAAATTAGAATACCAACCTGCTCTCTGGATGGAATCTGTTAGAATTCTGTCTGCTGTGTCGTACTTGGTGTGATAAATGTATCCATTCTCAATAAAAGCTAAGTCTATTCCTAAGACATACAAGAAAAAAAAAATTGTCATTTTGTTTTAAAGATCAACCTTGCTTATGCCTATTTGTTCAATGTATTAAATTCCTAACAGACAAAATGTCAAAGCAGTGGCATGATTGCTTTGTCACATTTATGAATGAATGATGTAAATTCTCTTCCAAATTCTTCCAGAATCTATAGCTATGGTACATAATTCACTTCATAGGGACTGAGGAAGCATACTACTACACAGGGAGGCATTACAAGTCACACAGCAAGGAGCAGAAACATTGAGCTTGAGAAGTCATCAAAACTTTGCCATCTACATCCTTGCCAGGCCAGAGTCAAATTTTTACTTCAAATGAGCTGTACAAGCCGCCAAGGGAGTTGGCAAAGCAAGACAACAGCGAAAGTCAAAGACCCCTGAAGGCACTATTACCATCTTTTGGGAATGAAGTACTAAACAGTTCTCCCCTGTTCTGTCACACTGTGGGCAAGATGACATGTTTTAGCAAAGGCAAGCATTTAAATTAGACTAGGGTTTAAAAGAAAAGGAAAATATCAGGAACTCAGTTTCAGTGAGTCAGAATATACTGCTCTCAGACAGAGCATATGCTCTCAGAAAATGCTGTTTACTCACAAACTTCCAAAAAGTATAATTCGCTTTTGATTAATCACTGTCACACTATAACCCATAACAATTAACAAAATACCTGGAATGTTCCCAAAATCCCTGTAGATACGGAAGTCAGTATCTGAAGGAATGATTCCACTCTGAAAAACCTCCTGAGCCACCACAGAAGCAAAAGGGTGTTTAGCTGCTGAAACATAAGCTTGGACCAACCAAGGATTTTCAGGACCTGAAATGAAACATGACAATACAATACAAAGTTAATCTGCTAATTTTTTAAAAATATTAATTTTTTTAACACACCTAAAACAGTCACTGCAGTGATTTGGGGAGACGAGTCCAAAGTTTGATTTTTTTTTTTTTTCAGTGAGGAAGACTGGCTCTGAGCTAACACCTGCTGCCAATCCTCCTCTTTTTGCTGAGGAAGATTACCCCTGAGCTAACATCTGTGCCCATCTCCCTCTATTTTGTATGTGAGATGCCACCACACATGGCTTGATGAGTGGTATGTAGGTCCATGCCCAGGATTCGACCCCGCAAACCCCAGGCCGCTAAAGCGGAGTGCACGAGGCCAACCACTACACCACCAGGCCGGCCTCCCAGAGTTTGATTTTTTTAGTATTTTTCCCCCAACATTTCTCTGATAATGTGTATAACTTTCAGAATGAAAAGTAACCTTTCAGCAAATTTTTTTTTTTTTGGTGAGGAAGATCAGCCCTGAGCTAACATCTGTTGCCAATCCTCCTCTTTTTGCTGAGGAAGACTGGCCTGGGCTAACATCCGTGCTCATCTTCCTCTACTTTATAAGTGGGATGCCTGCCACAGCATGGCTTGATAAGTGGTGCATAGGTCCACACCCAGGATCCGAACCTGCAAACCTTGGGCTGCCGAAGTGGAGCATGCAAACTTAACCACTATGTCACCAGGCTGGCCCCCATAAAATTACTTTTTATTATAGAATAACAGCACTGTAAAAAGTTTAAGTTTAAAAATGAAAAATCACTCGTAAGTCCATCATCCTAAGATAACTATCATTTTCATACCTTCAATTTTCTTACAAATATATGATTGTGTGTATATAGCTGTACTCAGAGAGTATATATACTCTGTACATTGCTCTTTCACTTAAATGCATTTTCCTATGTTGCTAGATAGTACAATGATCATTTTAATAACTGTATAACATTTCACTGAATATACTGTAAAGTTCTTTATTACTAATGCTTATAATCTTTTACCATTATTAATAATTCTGTATTAACATCTTCATACATATACAGCTTTTTCCAAATGTGGGAGTTTTTTCTTTAGGATAGTTAGATAAATTGTATTATTGTTCCCAATTATTCACTCCTCCCTCTCATGTAACTTGTAATGTGTCCCTGTGGAAGTAGCACATACACTTCCTCACCCTATTACCTGCAGGCTTGGCCACATGAATTGCTTTGGCCAATAGATTGTGAATGGGAGAGACAAGAACCTCAACCAAGAAGACTTTTAGGAAACATCACATGGTCCATCCCTCTCGTTCACTTTGGCCATGAGATCAATACATCCTCTATGGGGGCTTCTTCTTCAGCCTGGATCCCAAAATAAGTAAGACACATGGAACACAATAACCATGGAACATAACTGCAGTTATCCAGGAACCACAATGTAATGTGAGCAAGAAATAAGCCTTTGCTGTTGTAACCCACTGAGATTCAGGGGTTATTTGTTAACAACAAAATTTAGCAAGAAGTTGAGTGATGCAGACAAATCAAGTAATTATATTTCATGAAAACTAAGAATATTAACATTTTTATAACTTTATAAACAGATAATCAAATTGCTTTCCTACAGAAAAAATGACTAGTAAAGGGGGAGGGGTAGAGAAACACTATAAAACCTGACACCCAGGTGACCCAGATACTGGAGTCAGCAGACACGGATTTTAAAATAACTATGATTACTATGTCCCAAAACACAGACAATAGCAAAAATTTCACCAGACAAGTACAATCTATTAAAAAACGAGTCAAATGGAAACCCTAGAACTGAAAAACATAATAACTCATGTTAAGAATTTTAGTAGATGGTTTAATACAAGGTTAAACACAGCAGAAGAAAGGATTATAGATCACCAAAATTAAAGCACAAAAAGAAAAAGATGGAAAAATATAGAAATGTGTAGAAGAGACATACGGGATACAGTGAAAAGGCCTAACGTGAGTAACTGGAGTCCCAAAAGAGACAGATGGACCAGAAGCAATGTTTAAAGAGGTGATGGCCAATAATTTTCCAACATTCACAGGAAACATCAAGCTGTGAATTCAAAAAGCTCTACAAACCCCAAACAGGATAAACATAAAGAAAAAACATACTTAGCACCAAGATCTTTGCTTCTAAATACAATTATCCACTAAAAGGACCAGGTCTCCTCAGAGAAACAGTTAATTCCAGATCCAGAGCTAGGAAAGTACAAGATAAGGTGGAACATTTTGTGCCAGAAAGTGCTCAAAGGAACATGAAAAGGACTCAGGCACAAGTTGAAGGGGCTGCCGCTCGCCTAAACTGGGACAATTCACACATCAAAATGATAGTAACAGAATACATAACCCATAGAATAAAATAAAAATACAGGAAATGCTGAAATAGATACTCAAATAAAGGAGAATACAAAACCTTCCTTCTAGCAGAATTCCAAATATTAACTATAGATGGAAGAAGAGCTCGAAAACTAGGATCAAAGTTTTATGAGAAACAAAAGATTTACGGAGTCTCAAAGTACCTATTACAAAGCGGAAAACAGTAACTTTACAAAGTAGAAAAACCTGGCAAATGCCATAATTAAAGATCAAAAGTTAATATCATCAGTAATCAGACAGACATTTACAGGCCTCCTAATGTGATGTGCTGAGGACACAAACGTAAAAGGAAAAAGAAAAACAATGGTGGGGAAACACAAATTACTAAACCTTACCATGTTAAAATATTATTAAAATATTACTATTACAATTAGATATTAATAATTAAAATTATACTATTGGGGCCGGCCCAGTGGCGCAAGCAGTTGAGTGCGCCTGCTCTGCTGCGGCAGCCTGGGGTTTGCCGGTTCGGATCCCAGGCGCGCACCAACGCACCGCCTGGCAAGCCATGCTGTGGCAGCGTCCCATATAAAGTGGAGGAAGATGGGCGTGGATGTTAGCCCAGGGCCAGTCTTCCTCAGCAAAAATAGGACTGGCAGATGTTAGCTCAGGGCCGATCTTCCTCACAAAAATTAAATAAATACATACATACATACATAAATAAAATTATACTATTAAGATATTATTAAAACCGTATTGAAAAACAGGTAAAGCTAAACTATAAAGGAAAGAAAGTGTCATAAAAATCAGGATAATGGTTACTCAGATGAGAGGGAGGGGGTTCTATTTGAGAAGGAGCATGTGGAAAACTTCTGGGAAAGCATGGCTCGAGCCTATCCTCTTTCATGAGTGGGGGTTAGAGGGGTATCCACCTTACAATAATTAAGTTTACACTTTTATATTTTTTCTATGTGTGTTATATAATGATTGTGATATATCTAATAAAACATGACAATTAAATGCTATGTTTGATCCTGGATTGGAACTTAGATTAAAAAATAAAACAAAAATAGTTACATTAGAACAACTGGAAAAATCTGAATATGTACTGTTTATTAGCTAATAGTTTTATATTAATGGCATATTTTTTTATTGATGTTTTAATAGTTTATAACATTGTGAAATTTTGGGTTGTACATTTTTGTTTGTCCATCACCATATACATGTCTCCCTTCACCCCTGTGCCCACCCCCTACCCCCATTGCCCCCGGTAACCACAATACAGTTTTCTCTGTCCCTGTGTTGGTTTATATGCCACATATGAGTGAGAACATACAGTGTTTGTCTTTCTCTTTCTGGCTTATTTCACTTAACATAATACCCTCCAGGCCCATCCATGTTGCCTGCAAATGGGACAATTTTGTCTTTTTCTTACGGCTGAGTAGTATTCCATTGTATATATATACCACATCTTCTTGATAATGGCATATTTTTTGAGCATGATAAATGTACTATTATGAAGAAATATATACTTGTTCTCTCTCTTCTGTGATAATTATATTGAGATTATCAATTCAGATGGTTTTTCTCCTTTATTCTGATAATGTAGTGAATTACATAAATTGATTTTCAAATATTCGACTATCTTCATTTACCATTCAGTACAGTTGGAGGATATAAAATTAATATACAAAAATTAGTTGCATTTCTATACACTAATAATGAATTTTCAAAAAGAGAAATTAAGAAAACAATTCCATTTACAACTGCATCAAAAAGAATAAAATATCTATGAATAAACTGAACCCATGAGGTGAAAGAACTGTACACTGAAAACTCTAAGACACTGATGAGAGAAATTAAAGATGACATAAATAAATGGAACAATATTCTGTGCTCATAGATTGGAAGAATTAACATTGTTAAAATGTCCATACTACCCAAAAGCAATCTATAGATTCGATGCAATTCCTATCAAAATTCCAATGGCATTATTCACAGAAATGGAACAAACAACCCTAAAATTTGTATGGAATCACAAAAGATCCTGAATAGCCAAAGCAATCTTGAGAAGGAGGAACAAAGCTGGAGGCATCACGCTTCCTGATTTCAAACTTTATTACAAAGCTATAATAATCAAAACAGTATGTATTGGCATAAAAACAGACACATAGATCAAAGGAACAGAACAGCAAGCCCAGAAATAAACCCATACAATATACGGACAGCTAATTTTTGACAAAGAAGCCAAGAATATACAATGGGGAAAGGACGGTCTCTTCAAAACCATGTTGGGAAAACTGGACAGCCACATGCAAAAGAATGAAACTGGACCACTACCTAACACCATACACAAAAATTAACTTAAAGTGGATTAAAGATTTGAACATAAAATATGAAACCATAAAACTCTTAGAAGAAAACATAGGCAGTAAGTTCCTTGACACAGGTCTTGGCAATGAGTTTTTGGATTTGATACCAAAGAAGAGGCAACAAAAGCAAAAACAAATAAATAGGAATAAATCAAACTAAAAAGCTTCTCCACAGCAAAGGAAACCATCAACAAAATGAAAAGGCAACCTACTGAACCGGAGAAAATACTTGCAAATCGTGTATCTGATAAAGGATTAATATCCAAAATATATAAAGAACTCATACAGCT